GTAACAGAAATACCTAAAAATGTAGGAGTGACTTCGGAATAGGGTAAAGGATAGAGGCTGGAAGAATTCTGAGACACTTGACAGAAAGAGCCTAGATTGCCTTGAAGAGACTACTGATAGAAATATGGACATTAAAGGAGATTCTGCTGAGGGCTCAGAAAGAAAAGAGGAGAGCTGTGGAGAAGGCTTCTCTTGTCTGGGAAAATACATACATGTCATGTTAGAAATACAAATGTCAAAATGGTTGTGGTGAAGTCTCAAATAAAAATGAGGAACGTGTATTGGAAATTGGCGGAAAGTCAATCTTGTCATAAAGTGGCAGAGAACTTGGCCAAATTGTGTTCTAGTATTTTGTAGAAAGTAGAACTTGTAAGTGTAAACTTAGATACTTAGCTGAGATTTCTGAGCAAAGTGCTGAAGACGTGGCCTGGATTCTTCTTGCTGCTTATAGTAAAATACAAGAGGAAAGAGATAAATTGAAGACGGAAGTGTTAAGCAAAAAGGAACTGGAACCTGAAGGTTTGGAAAAGTCAGCCCATCCAGAGAGCATGCTCTGCAAACAGGGCCAACCGTGTGGCTGAACAAAGGTTTCCTGAGGAGATCAGGCAGGTGACTCATGAATCCAATCAAGCACCTGAGCAGAAGCCAGGAATAGACACGTGGCTGTCCAGGAAGGATCTGCAGAGGCCCCTCTTCTCCCATGGCTTGGACCCCTGTGAATTGCCTGGGAGGCCAATGAGGATTTGAGAATTTTCTACCAGCAGAAACTCTGCCAGCCTGCACTGAAGGAGATGGGATGAAATGAAGGATGGCTGTCAGACTTGAAAGGAGGCATGAAAGGAGCCAACAGAGCTAACTGGCTGCGAGCAGGTGTCATCTTTCAAGAAAAGGGAAGAATGACCCCAAAGGCAAATCAGAGTCCAGCAGGGCTTCCACTGCTACCACAGGCACAGGTTGAGGAACAGAGCCACCACCCCAGTGGGCCAGAGGACACAGCAGGAGCCAAAGGAGATTATTCTCCCAGCCTTAAAATCAAATGAAATTTGCCCTGCTAGGTTTCCAACACGCTTGGGACCTCTGACCCCTTTCGTCCTTCTGATTTCTCCCTTTTGGAAGCGGAATGTCTCTCCTATGTGTGTTTCACTGTTGTATTTGGAAGCAGATAACTTGTCTGGTTTCATAGGTTTACAGCCATAGAAGAACTCTGCCTCAGGATAAATCAAACCTCGAGTCTCATCCATACCTGATTTAAATATTTACATTAGGGTCCTCAAGAGAAACAGAACCAACAGGGTGTATTGTGTGTACATATATAGAAAGGTATTTATTATAAGGAGTTAGCTCATGTGATTATGGAGACCGACAAGCCCCGAGACCTGCAGTGAGCAAGCTGAAGACCCAGGAAAGGCAATGGTGTAGCTCTAGTCCCAGGACAGGCAGGCTCGAGACCAAGGAAGGACTGATCTTTCTGTTTGAGTCTGAAGGCAGGAAAAACTGATGTCCAGCTCACAGGCAGGACTACCTCTTACTCAGCCTTTTTGCTCTCTTCAGGCCTTCAACTGACTGGATGAGACACACGCACCTTAGGGAGAGCAATCTGCTTTACTCAGTTTCCTGCTTCAAATGTTAATCTCATCCAGAGACGCCCTCACAGACATATTCCGAGTAATGTCTGACCAAATATCTGGGGACCTCATGGCCCAGTTTAGTTGACACATAAAATTAACCATCACAGATGAGATTTTGGACTTAAAGTTGACGCTGGGATGGGTTAAAACTTTAGGGGATGCTGGAAAGGGTGAATGTATTTTATAGGTGAAAAGGACATGAATTTGGGAGGTCCAGAGGATGAAGAGTTATATATTGAAATGTGTCCCCCTAAAATTCATATATTGAGGGGCCGGCTCCGTGGCCGAGTGGTTAAGTTCGCGCGCTCTGCTGAGGAGGCCCAGGGTTTGGATCCTGGGCGCGGACATGGCACCGCTCGTCAGGCCACGTTGAGGTGGTGTCCCACATCCCACAATTAGAAGGACGTGCAACTAAGATATACAAATGTGTACACGGAGGGTTTAAGGAGATAAAAAGATTGGCAACAGTTGTTAGCCCAGGTGCCAATCTTTAAAAAAAAAAAAAAAAATTCATATATTGAACTCCCAATCCCTAATACCTCAGAAGGTGACCGTATTTGGAGATAGGGTCTTTACAGAGGTAATCAAGTTAAAATGAGATTATTAGGGTGGGCCCTAATCAGATATGACTGCTGTCCTATAAAAAGAGGAAATCTGGACACAGAGACATGCGTAGAGGGAAGATAATGAGAAGAGACATAAGGAGAAGATGACCATCTATAAGCCAAGGACCTACGACTGGAACACTTCCTTCCCTCACTGCTTTTAGAAGGAACCAACTCTGCCAACACCTTGATTTTGGACATCCAGCCTCCAGAACTGAGGGACAATAAATTCCTGTTGTTTAAGCCACTTCGTCTGTGGCACTTAGTCATAGCAGCCTTAGCAAACTAACACATAGACTCTAATCTCTACATGTCAATTAGTATTGCTCTCAACACATTCTTTTCTTTCATAACGATCATTAACAGTTATGGAGTGTTTACTAGGTGCTAGTCACTGCAATAAGTTCTTGGATGAACGCTATCTCAGTGAATACTCAAAACTATCCTTTGAGTGAATTTTATGGTATGAGAATTATGTCCCAATAAAAATAAATACATGAAAAAACAACTTTTTGAGGTTGATATAATCATTATTCCAATTTCAGGACTAAATCTAAGACACACAACTACTTTACGGGCAGGGGCAGAAACTGAAGCCAGATGTCTGATCACAGACCTGTGCTCCCAACCACCTCACTCAAGTGCCCTCCCTTCTCCCATCTTGCCTTTTCATTTCTAACGCATTGCCAATGGTTTTTAGATTCTGAATCCAAACTGTAGTAAGGGTCTTTTAAAAACTCTGTCAAGCTGATTCTGAAATTTATATAAAGAGGCAAAGGAACTAGAAGAGACAAAACAATTTTGAAAAAGAACAAAGTTAGAGGACTCATATTAACTAATTTCATGACATTACTATAAAGCTACAGTTATCAAGGGGGGCATCAGTGAAAGGACAGACACATAGGGCATTCCTCAATATCATAGGCTCGGTTCCAGACCACCAAAATAAAGTGAATATCACAATAAAGTGAATCACATGAATATTTTGGTTCCCTGGTGCATAGAAACAATATGTTTACACTATACTGTAGTCTACTAAGTGTGCAATAGCATCATGTCTAAAACAACAATGCACATACCTTAAGTAAAAAATATTTTATAGCTAAAAAATGCTAACCATCATCTGAACCTTCAGCAAATCATAATCTTTCGGCTGGTGGAGGGTCTTGTAAAAAATGCAATATCTGGGGCCGGCCACGTGGTGTAGTGGTTAAGTTCAGCATGTTCCACTTCAGTGGCCTGGGTTCATGGGTTCAGATCTGGGCACGGACATACACTACTCGTCAGCCACACTGTGGGGGTGACCCACATACAAAGTAGAGGGAGACTAGCATGGATGTTACGTCAGGGCTGATCTTCCTCAAGCAAAAAACGAGGAAGACTGGGCAACAGCTGTTAGCTCAGAGATAAGCTTCCTCAGCAAAAAGACAAAAAACACAAAAATTCAATATCCACAAAGCACAATAAAGTGAGGTGAAATAAAATGAGGTATGCCTGTAAATCAATGCAACAGAACAGAAAGTCTAGAGATAGATCCATGTGTATAAGGTCAATTAATGTGCAAAATAAGTCTGCAAAATCAGTTCAGTGACGAAAGGATAGTGTTTTCAATAAATGGTACTGCATCAACAGAATATCCATATGCAAAAGGCATATATCTTACACTCATATAAAACAATACAAATCATAATCTAAATCTGAAACAAAATTATAAAACTTCTAGAAGAAAACATAGGAACAAATCTTTACGGCCTTGGATTTGGCAAAGACTTCTTAGATATGACACCAAAAGCACAAACCATAAAAGAAAAAATTTAAAAATGGATTTATCAAAATTAAGAATTTCTGCTTTTTGAAGACACTGTCACAAAAATGAAAAGACAAGCCACAGACTGGAAGAAAATGTTTATAAAACACACACCTCACAAAAGACTTGTATCCAGAATATATAAAAACATTTAAAAATTAATAAAGCAAAAAACCCAATTTAGAAAACGGGCAAAAGATACTTTATCAAAGAAGATATATGAATGGCACATAAGCAAATTTGAAGATACTCAATATCATTAATCATTAGGGATACCATTCACAGCTACTAGATTAGGGAAAAAACCACTGATACCAAATACTGGTGAGGATGCGGAGCAACTGCAACTCTCATACACTGCTGGTATGAGAACCAAATAGTGCAACCACTTAGGAAAACAGTGTGCAAGCTTCTTAAAACGTTAAACCTTCATTTATCATATGATCCAGCAATTCCACTTCTAGGTATGTACCCAAGAGAAATTAAAAGTTACGTTCACACAGAAACCTGTAGACGAATGTTCACTGCAGCATTATTCATCGTCACAAAAAACGGGAAACAACCCAAATCGGAATATTATTCAGTAATAAAAAGGCATAAACTATTAATACACACACCATGGATGAATCTCAAATACATTATGATGAGTGAAAAAGGGCACACTCAAAGTCTATATACATATTATTTCATTTATATGACATTCTGGAAAAAAACAGAATTACAGGGACAGAAAACACATCAGTGGTCGCCAGGGCTGGCAGTAAGGGAAGGATCATGAAGGAATTTTTGGGGATAAAGTTACTATTCTGTTTACATGACTGTATTTGTTTGTCAAAGTACCCTAAAACGGATGAATTTTATTACACATAAATTATATTTCAATAAAAGATCTTTAAAAAAAAAAGGAGGCTAGCTTAAAACTAGGTTTTATGATTTAAGTTGAGAACATAAAAATCCTGAAAGGTGAGCACATCCAGGTTGTCTGAAGCACATTAAATTAGTCAAATGGATTTGATTAAAATTTGGGCTTTTTCTTCTTTTTTAAAATCTGTCACAACTTCTATATTAAAGAAGTTAGAAGGCCTGGTTTCTGCCCCTGATTCTACCAATCAGGTGATACATATAGTAACAGAATACTTATTTCAATTTTTCTGCTAAGTTCTTTATCTCTAAAATGAGAAAAAGCATTCTTAACCTCAAGGTAGCTGTAGCTGTGAAGAGATGATACATGAAATATATGGGTGATATACAGAATACATATAGTGTCAGCCAACTAAATACAGATATATTATTATATCAAATTCAGTCAGAGCTAAGATGGAAATTTCAGCCTTAACAACAAAACTCAATCATTACAAATGGAAACAGGGAAGGGGGGGAAATAAATGATCCAGAACAGAATTAGGAAAGTAAAATAAACAACAGAAATCACAAGTACACAAAAAACTATGATGTTTGCTAATGGGAATATATTGGCCCTTTTGTAAATGGTTACTTTCTTGGGGAAGGGCACAAAGATGTCTTTTTCTAAAAGAGAATATTGTTGCAGGTTATCTTTGCATATTAATAAGTGCAATTATTTTGTAAAAAAAAAAATAAACCACACAATGAGTGCTTGCTGTGTGTCAGCACTAAGTGTTGTACATATTACCAACTAATTTAACATTCACAAGAACCAAAAGATGGTACCAAATATATTTTGGGAAGTAATTTCCTAACATTCATCTGCTTGGTGAAAGTTTCAGCAAGTCCCAATATAGTGAAAGAAAAGCATTTCAATCAGTAACGCTGAATCTGAACACATTCCTGAGGAATTTCTGGAAGGATCGTTTGTCTTCCATTCCTCAAATATGTGCTCTCAATCCTTATTCAAGAAGTTATCATTTTGGTTTAGTAAAAGAGCTAAAATATCTATTCACTTTGCTATTAGAAAACAAGATTTCGCTACTTAAGATCTTTTCTTACGTTCTCATATACAAATCACAGCAAGACCGACAGAGCAGGTGCTGAACTGCGGCACGCTCTGGGGACACCATGTGCGCCACACGGGTGTGCCGCGTGTCCCGGGAACCGCAGAGATCGGCCCCAGGCGCCGAGGGCCCTGCTCGCCTTCGGCCCTCCGCCAGCTTCTTTCCTCCTCGCAGGCCAAGGACTCTGAGGGACCTTCTCAAACACATTCCAGAACACCAGGGTCCTGAGACTCTCCACCCAAACGGCTCGCAGAGACCCAGGGTCCGCCCAGGGGAGAGAAGACCTTCTCACCGGTGTACATACGCCGCTTGGCCAACACGCGGCCAAGTGCGGATGCTGGGGGACGGCCTGACGTGCAAGCTGCCCTGTCCACACACAGGCACCCAAGTCCCAAAGGGGGTGGAATCGAGTCAGCTCTCCCCTGCCTCCACTTTCTGGAATGGAATTCGGAGGGATCTGAGAGGTGACCAAACCGACTCCACAGGAGTGAGCCAGACACCCTCCCACGGCAAAGCGACGCCAGCTGCGGGCAGATGTGGACAAAGCCCAGACAGCTGTACTGACAGATGGACACAGGGCCCGGCGTGGGGCCCAGGAGCAAGGTGACCCCGGCTGAGGCCAGCAGCAGCCCGCAGAAAGGGCCTCGGGCCCCGCTGCCACTCCCGCCCGGCTCCACGGGGGTGGGCACGCGGGCCGACCGCGGCGGGGCACCCAGCAGACGGCTTCTGACGCCAGCAGCAGGGCCGAGCGAGGGCAGCGCAGCGCCCACAGCCGAGCCAGCAGCCAGTCCGGGGCCGGGGTCCCGGGGGCGGGGCCGCGCGCACGTCACCGCCGCGGCCGACGTCACGGCCGCTTGCCGCAGCCGCAAGGTCCCCGCGCGCAGCTCCGCGGCAGGTCTGTGCGGGAGCCACCCAGCCCTCTGCGGCTTCTCCTCTGACATGGCTGACGCGGAGAACCAGGGGCCTGCGGAGCCGAGCCAGGCGGCGGAGGCGGCGGAGGAGGTAATGGCGGAAGGCGGTGCGCAGGGGGGAGACTCGGACAGCGCGGCCGGCGACTCGGACAGCGCGGCCGGCGACTCGGACAGTGCGGCCGGTGAGCCGGCCGAGGAGCCCCAGACCCCTGCCGAGAATGCACCAAAGCCTAAAAATGACTTTATCGAGAGCCTGCCCAACTCGGTGAAATGCCGAGTCCTGGCCCTCAAAAAGCTGCAGAAGCGATGCGATAAGATAGAAGCCAAATTTGATAAGGAATTTCAGGCTCTGGAAAAAAAGTATAATGACATCTATAAGCCCTTACTTGCCAAGATCCAAGAGCTCACCGGTGAGATGGAGGGATGTGCATGGACCTTAGAGGGTGAGGAGGAGGACGATGACGAGGAGGAGTATGAGGATGAGGAGGAGGAGGCGGAGGAGGAGGCAGAGGAGGAGGAGGAGGCTGCGGCAGAGGCTGCCAAAAATGAGGGTCCCCACTCTGCCGTGTCCGATGACGCCAAGAAATAAGCGGAGCAGAGGCTGAAGAGGAGAATGACGACGAAGACAAAAACGCTACTTTTTTATACATATATATATTGGTGGACTTAAAACGGCTCAGGTTTTGGACCAAAGAACAATGTGAATCAATTCTGACATTCCCAAAAACATATTAAATTGAAGCAATCAGATCCTGGCCAGCCCGTTTCAAATTTGATTTTCATTTTGAACATAAATGTATCAAAAGATATTAAAGAAAATGAGTTTAATTTAAAATAATTTCTCCATGATCGCTTCTTGAGGACTGGAATTGAGGCTTATTAAGGGTGTCAAGTAGATGTGAAGTAAAGAATGTCACTTTGAAACTCATTCATCACACTACGCACGGAACACCCAAGCCAAGACTGAACGTGTTCTCAATGCCTAATTCTTCAGGTTCTTTACTCCTGAAATTTTCCAGTGCAGAACCCAAGAAAAGTCTCATCTTTAAGACTTTGCTTTTGTAACCCAGACATCAGCTTTACACTTTGGGGAAGAGAGATGGACTGGAGGAAGCATGGGCTGGAGATCATGACAGTACTGTTAATAAGCCTGGAAAACTGCCACTTCAAATTCTAATGAATGTTCTGAATATTGAAATTTAGAGAAACATGATTCTGAGAAGGAGGGTGTATAACTTGTATAGTATTGTCAACATATGTGTTCGTTATTTACAGTCTCATGTTTATGTGTTTTCTTGGTAGTGTCTATTTACAAAGGTGTAAAAAAAAAAAAACCCAAATGGTTAAGTATTAAATCCCTTTACCTAGCATTCTAGAAATATTAATTTACTTCAAGAGATGTAGAATGTAGCAAATTCTGTAAAGCATGTGTATCCAGTGTTATGTAGTTTGATCCTCGTAAAGTCTTTTTGTCCCGTAGCTTTTAGAATGTAGCTGTGAAAATTATCAGAACTCTTCACTGAAGCTAATGTTTGGAAAAAATATACACTTGAAGAACCAATCCAAGTGTGTGTCCCCACCCACAGCTCAGAAGTAGAAAGGGTTTAAGTTTGCTTGTATTAGCTGTGCCTTCATTATTTTGCTATCTAAATGTGATATGTTAAATATAAAATGGTGCATAATCAAATTTTACTGCTTGAGGATAGACTGGCTTACAGTCAAGGATTTTTAGGAAGGACACATTTAATCTAAAGACTCTTAGCTTCTTTGTGGGTTTTGAATTGTGTGTGACCCAGTGATCTATAAACATAAGCATAAAATTGTTTACCACTGTGGTGTTAATAAAACAGTATTTTCCAAAAACAAAAGGACTCGGTACTCTGTCTGCCTGGCATCAAATCCCAGCTTTGCCTATTAGCAATGAACCTTGGGCAATTCAATTAATCTACGTGTGTTCAGTTCCTCCTCATCTGTAAAAGGGGAGAGTAATAGTCCCTTCCTCACAGGTTATTATGGAGAACAAGTGAGTTAATACAGACAAAGCCCAAAGAACAGTATCTGACACATACTAAGTGCTTGAGAAATTTCAGCTATCATTATTATTATTATTACTACATAGAAGATAAAGACACTGATTGGAAATTCAATCCTCATCTCCCGAGTTACAAAAGAGGAGAAAATGCACATCATTATAGTCTTAAGTTTATGATTCCTTATTGTCAGAGAAGAATGTGGCCTTTAATTCAAAAACACGAGGAATTCAAAAAACTATCTTGTTTTGGTTTCCTCAATATAAAAATCAGGTTCTGATATCCTCCCAGAGAGGATAATAGACTTCAATGTGACATTATAAATATACAAAAAAGGCTATTTCAACTTTACATTTGGGCATTCTGAATGAAGTAAAAATAATAAAATTAAAGACTCCAAAAAGATTTTTAAAGTTGTATTTTCTTCCATTTTCCTAAGGGTTAAAATTACACAAAAGCAAAATTTAGACTGCTTTACCTTAGGAAATGGAAGGCGGCTCTGACCTGTTGCTAATGGCAAGAGTTTAGTAAAACTTTAAGGTAATATTAATCTTCCTAGGGCCAGGCCAACCAAGAGAGAAAATCAAAATAATGTATTATATAGCAAGTCAATCTTAATAGAAGCAAAAACAAAATCTAATAAAATTCAATATTCATTTATCTCATTCTATGAATAAGAGACTGTCATTTAATATTTTTCTAGGTCCAGCAAAAAAGGTAAAAATGAATGAAACAAATAATGTATAATTATTGGGGAAAAATTTTTTTTGCAGGCCTGTGATTACAGATAGAAAATCCAAGAGAATTAAATGAAAACTATTACATTTAGTAAGTTTGAGGAACTGACCAGTTACCAGATAAATACATAAAAACCAATAACTATTTCTAGGCACTAATAATGATCAAAAATGGAAAAGGCTCTCACAGTGAAAGGAGATCAAAATACAAAAACCTCTAACAAAAAGTATGTATAACCCTTGTGAAAAGAAAAAACAGACTATCACAAAGAAGTGTAAAACTGATCTTTGGATAGTAAGACGGAATATCACAAAAGTGTCCATTCTTTCCAATTAACTTTTAATTTATCCCACTATGTTTTTTCCTACACAAACATATCTATCGTAAAGTTTAATTTATAAATTAGGCTCAGTATGAGATTAACAACAATAATAATAAAATAGAACAAATATAACAATATACTGTAATAAAAGTTACCATAAATCTTAGCAACCTCAGCATACGGTTTTTTTCCTTTCCTTATTAAGTCGAGAACTTTCACCTTTTCACTTAAAGGAAGCACTTTACAGCTTCTCTTTGGCATATCCAAACTGCCAGCATACCGACTCTTGCACTTTGGGGCCATTCAGTAAAATAACGGTTACTTGAATGCTGGCACTGTAATACTGAGACAGTCAAGCTGATAACTGGGACGGCTACTAAATGACTAACGGCAGGTAGTGTATCAGTGTGGGTATGCCAGACAAAGCGATGATTCGCTTTCTGAGGAGGACAGAGTGGGAGGGCATGAGATTTCATCATGCTACTCAGAAGAACGTGGCATGAAATTTAAAACTTATGAATTGTTTATTTCTGGACTTTTCCATTTAATATTTTCAGACCATGGGTGACTGGGTAACTGAAACCACAGAAAGCGAAACCGTGGATAAGGGGAGACTACTCTAACTCATTTGATGTCTGCAGCTCTTGTCCAAGGATGCAAAGCAATTTTAAGACCAAATGGAATGTGATAAATTATGGATACTGAATTGGTACCGTTCTGGCCTTGTCCTCCAGGGTAGTGGTGACAGGAAATATCTTATTGTTAACAAACACAGCTTCAACGCCAGCAGTATCTGTGTACACAACTGCCCAAGCTAAAAATCCAACAGGTATTATTTTTATCATTCTTTCATTTAATTTTCTTAGACTGATCTAAGAAATACCCAAAAAGGACCCCCAGTGATGACATTACAGCATATAACAGAGCAAAGGAAAGAAGAGCTGCAATGATTAATGTTTTACAGTCATACACAACCCTTCTTACCAGGATCTCAATGTGCTTTGCTGATAAGATTTCTGCTTTTTGCAGCATAAAAGAAAAAAATTCACTCATACCTTTTTCTGACTGTCCCTAACTGACAGCAATCCTAAGTAATATGGCAGTAACCACGCTAGGTTCTCAGAAGCCCGTCCAACAGGTAACTGTGTGACAGCAACAGGGGGCAGCGGTGGTGAAGGGGGGGTCTGCCTCCTGTCACCATGTACAGAGACATGTGCGACAGTTCACCGTGTGTTCGATGAGTGCTAGTGACCCAGAGCAGCCAAAACCTAAACTTACCTAACACAGAAGCTGCTCCACACTTTAATCTCAAACACAGTGTACTGACAATAAAAACAGGAACCATCCCCTCCGCCTGGCAATATTTAAAATGACAGCACTCTTCATTGTACAGAGACTTGAAAACTTTTGAAGCTTTTTTATAGAAAATCATGTAACAGAATAATGGAGATTTGTAATACAAGTACAAAACAATGTAGGTTCCTTCTCATCACTCTCTTGAATTGATGTCTTGCTGTTAAAGAACCTTCTCATTATGTTAATATTATATGTTAAAGAACGTTCTTATGGAAAACGTTTTGTAGGAGTAGCACTGAAGTCAGTTAGGGGCAAGTAACTGCCAAGTAAGAGAAAAGGAACCCACGTGGCTTTTAAACAAAAGCACGCTCCCCACAGGATTCTGAGCGCCACTCGTGGGGTTCAGCAATGTCCGTCAGTGTGTGTTAGCAACAGATATAAATAGTGAAGAGGGAAAAAAATAAGATAAAGAAAGTGTGCCACGGACCCACTTCTATCATGTGACACCTTTGCTCACAAACCAACAATGGCTTCTTATTACCTGCTGAATAAAGTCTAAATTTCTCTGATTTTCAAAGACTTCTACAATCTAATCCCTGAGCTAAGCTGGTGTGGGTCGTCCAAAGGAAGCTTCCCCCAGCCATGCCCTCATCCAGCACTCACACCCACATACTCCTCCCTGTTCTCTGCCTGAAATAACCACCAAGATCCAGCCATCACTCTACGGAGCACCTTTTACTTCTTATGTCCTCATCTCTACTTTCTAGTATCCAATCTTAGTCAGCTGCCCAGCCTAGCTCTATCCCCTATCTGTCCTCCCAGATGCATCTGTGCAAGGTGACTCCTTCCAATTCAACCACTCAATCTTGTCTTCCTATCTCATTTATGGTTGCACATGAGAACAGCTTATCACCTAAACAAACTGAGTTATACTTCAGTTTTCCTGCACAGTTTGTCTCTCAACTACTGAGTCAATTCAACTGCTGATTCAAAGAAATGTCTGTTGAACGAGGAGAGACAGTGAGAGGGATAGGGAGAGAGCCAGAAAGAGAGAAAAACTCAGACCCAGAAAGAGAGAGAGAGCAGAAAAGGCAGAGACAAAAAGTATTCTAACAGCAATAACTCTATAAAGATATGAAAAAGAGCTTTAAATCCCAATAACTGCCTTAACCGCAGTACAACAGCACAAATCGCCAGTGCCTGCACTAGGTCACTCTTTTCCCCACCCAGGGTATTCAACACAGAGCGTTCTGATGACTCACCAGAGTATAAAGACATTCTGAATGCTCCCCTTCCTCAGGCTGCTTGCCTAGCTCATTGTTAGTTTCTCACAGATGATGCGCACATTATTTTGTCTGAAACCTGATGCAGAAGCTCAGACATCCTTTGAAAAACTAAAAGCTGTGGCCGGCCCCGTAGCCGAGTGGTTAAGTTCGCGCACTCTACTTCGGCAGCCCAGGGTTTCGCCTGTTCGGATCCTGGGCACGGACATGGCACCACTCATCAGGCCATGCTGAGGCGGCGTCCCACATGCCACAACTAGAAGGACCCACAACTAAAAATATACAACTATGTACCGGGGCCCTTTGGGGAAAAAAAGGAAAAATAAAATCTTTAAGAAAAAGTAAAAGTGCAGAGAAATAAAGAAGCAACATCTGCAGTAGTCTAAGGGCAGACTAACCTGTTATCCTTGCACACAGTTACTTTGTCTCCTTCAGGTATCAGTTTCTTCTGTTCAACCACTCCATAGCTTTCTCGACAAATCTATATTTAAGCAGGAAAAAAGAAATGTTTCAATTTTGTTCACCACTTATCTTTCTCGAACCCAAATGACTGAGAGAAGCTTTAGGAACAAACTTAGCTTAATAACTATTTATTAGCACAGAAATTCTTGGGAGAAAAGAGAACCTGAGTCAGAAAACACTGGCATCTTAAAAGGTATCTTTTTGTTTTAAGACAAAGCATTGCCAATAAATGCAACCAAGGAGAAATGATACGAACTCTAGAAAAGAAATATATGTATCAGGAGTAAAGAGGATTAATGCTTCAGAAATTTTCTTAAGTGCATAGATTAATCATTCATTCATTTATTCAGCACATTTACTGAACTCCTGTAACACTCAAGACACTATGAATACAATAATTTGTCTCAAAGAAGTCTTTGAATTTGGTCGTTGGTTTGACGAAAAACTAATGTTAATTATGACTTGTAAGCATGATCAAAGAGACAGCCATGATCATAAGTAAACTGTGGAAATCCTTACCGTGAAGTTGAGGCAGAAAGTCTCCTCAATATCTTCCCCAGGATAATCTAAAAGTTCTTGAAGACTCCTGATCATTGAAGGATGGAGAAAGGGAAAGAGGCAAATCAGACATTGCAATAATGTTTCTACCTGAGTCACATGTTCAGATTGTTTGCACAGAAAAACTATAAAAGAAGATTCTAGAATGCACATAAATCCAGACTGACAGAAAATGTTAC